GAGTCAGATAGGCAGCATAAACGAATTATGCTTGTAAAGTTAGCGAAACAATAAAACGCCGTAGTAAAAAATTGCGAATTAATGATCTATTCAGAAATAAGTCTACATCGTCTGCAACATGCGTCAACCATCGATTTCGACTATGTTCACCACGAGCCTCAACAGGCTGAAGCAACGCGGTGACTCCCGCGGGATTAGAGTGAAAGTAAACTCGCGGAGAATCTACCCCACACCCTCATCACTCCCACACTGGGACCCGATGTCAAGACAGAAGTCAAGAAGGCCGGAGATGGGGGAGGGCGCAGGCGGCTGGTGCGACCAACACCCAACACGCGTACCAACAGCACACTTCGCTAGGTAGGCTCCCGACTGGGAGCGCCATGAAGGCCGGATTAAGAAGGAGCCATTAAGCCTGAATCTCAGCCCGCAGACAGACGTGTTGCTATGTGAAGGCACACAACACGGACGGTTCACAGAGAGAATCTACCTGATGGGTCACGAGCACTTCGTCGAGTTTGTTGGCACCACGACACCTCCCTCCAGCTACAGAAATCACCTTACAGTTATCAGAGCAGTAGATCAACCGTCACGTCCTAGATACTGTGGCACGCAGCACAATACTCAAACCTGACGCTGAAAGTCGGTTCTCTTTTGAAAGGTCTGGATATAACCATGGTTCCTGGCGTCATCTTTCTTTGCATTTAGGCCAGAGACGCTTACGTATACTCGAAGCCAGTACTGGCGAAAATTGTCACGAGAAGGACTGAAAGTTGAGCCTTCGGGACACGACTGTTAAGATCAACTCCGAAATTATAGTGGAGATTTTAACCGAAGACAATTAACTTCTGCAAAATATCCGCATACTTCTCATTCAACAAAGTAGTGTTGCTGGCACTTAACCATTAGTCCTTTGCTCAGTAATCTCCCAAAAACTTATTGTACTATTTGCGTCGGAAGCACACACGCTAGAAGCCACAGAGAAACCCAATTGCTTGCAGTTGCGTCATTTAACAGTAAATGCATCGGCAAAGCACTATCAGTGATTTTATCCAGTGGCATGCACTTCAGGCGAATAAAAGTATTGGCCCAGCGATTGAGTCGTCTTCTTCTCAGTGGCATGCATGTAACTATCGTGCAATTAACATAAAAAATCAATTCTAATAGACACAATTACTCGAGGCATTACTAAACTAACTGAAAGATGCGATAAGATCACAGAAAAAAACGACAATTGTAGAGAAACCTGACCAATATTAATAAATGTTTGTCTTACTGTATGTGAAAAAAAACGGTGAAAACACTCGTTTCAACTTGCGCCAAGCAGCAAGGAACTGGTAAGTTTCGGTTGGATAGAATGCTTCCAAGTTTCTCTGTCTGGGCAACCGTATAGTATGTGTACACATATTTGTTTTTTTCTCTGGTCTAAGATAGCAATCGGGGTCGGGGTTGCATCAGTAAACATGAATTTCGTCGAAGCCCCAGCAACTGCCGCTGCATTTACAACGTGCAAAAACCACAAACTCTTATAGTTCAGATGAGGTTAGACCGGCTTCAGTACAGAATCGGACGTGGATAAGAGAGTGTGAAACCTACGCCTTCCCTCAGCTTGAAATCTTACAACTTCGGATTGACGCAACCGTAAGAGTTCGGCCTTTTCCGTCGTCTGCTTCA